ATAGATAGATAGATAGATAGATAGATAGATAGATAGATAGATAGATACTATCACTATCAAGCAGTTGTTATCTTTCACCTCCTCTTCCATGATGTCCCCTCACCCTTAGTACAGGGATTGCATTATAGAAGTATCCGTTGAGCCTGGATACTCCATGCTCATTTATTCTCTGCATCTTGACCCATTATGGATCTCTGTAAATAGCCCTCTTCCTGCTTCAAAATTAACAGTTTATAATGGGAGATGAGAGTTAAACTTATCTGTATGTATAAGTATTTACAATACAATTAAAAATTATTTTGGTGTAGCAAAAATGACAATTATAGGTTCTTCTCTAGGATCTATGACCACTCCATCCACTGGCATGGGGCTAGGTACATAATACTAGGCACAAATTCCCTCTCATTGAGTGAGACTTGAGTCAAATTAGACTATTGGCTACCCCTAAGATAAAAGTGCCACTATTGTACCACTGGGGATATCTTGCCAGGCCAGTCGTCGTTGTTGTTCATAGTCTAGGAAGGGCTGTTAACTGCTTTCTGCCCTGGCAGCTTGCATAGCACCTTCAAATATTGAGAGTCAGTCCTCAGGGAGGAAACTCCCAAGTCATTTGCAGCTCAATTCCTCCAGGTCCTATTTCTAAAGTGTGTGGTGTCTTCTCAACAGTAGGGTCTTACCTTCACATTTTAGAAGCAACCAGGGACAATGACAATAGCCTATATTAATTTTTGAGGGGATGAGAAAGGTCCTATGAACCCACCCTTACCAGCAACTCTAAGGGGAGGCTTTCCATTCTTATTATTTATTAGAGAGTGTAAAGCACTTGAGAGGAGTATTAGCTCACTGTGTGGCACAACTCCGTATGCCACTATATAGCATATCTGTGTGTGTGTATGTGTGTGCATGTGTGTGTGTGTATTTGTGTGTATATGTGTGTGTGTGTGTGTGTATTTATGTGTCTTTATATATGTGTGTGTATGTATGTATATACATACCTATTTATTGTGCATACTTTTAAGTTAGATTATAAAATAACACTCCCCCATGGCTTTTCAAAGACCCTTATTGCCTAACTGACATGAGAGTGATCCACCCCGACAAATTTTCTGGGTCTAAATGATGTTAGTGTCCCTTTCAGCCACTAAAGGGTGAAAGAGGGTGCTGTGCAGCCCCTTCCCTCCGCCAGTATGAAGAGTGTGGTCAACCCCATGTGATGGAGGCATTGGAGATCAGGGGTTCAGACAGCAGTGTGGACATGAAGGTAAGCTGAATTACTTCTTAGAGGGGACCTACAAGGAACATCTACCCTGAACTCTTCAGAGCAGCAGTGAGTCTCAGCCACTGGACACATGGGACAGCTTTCAGTGTAGTGGGTGGAGGGCATACTTGGGTTTGAGGTGAGAGCTGGATCTCCTGTGTGTTAAACAATCTAACACATGTCCTGCATTCCAATGGCATTATCCTAACTTCTTACAAGACAGGCATTCTGATTGGAGTCTTCAGGCCTAAAGGCACCATCTTTCACAGCAACCCACTATATTTAAACTTTTAAGACTTCAGACTGCTGTAATGAGTTGGCTTAGCCTTCTTTCATGTGAGCCACAAGTGAAACCAGGAAAGATGGTTTCTGAAACCAGGAAAGATGGTTTCTGGATATCCTTTATTCTGGGTTCAAGGAAAGACCCAGATTATTTATTGACATAAGGACTTATTTGACAGTGTCTGGTGATGATTTTGTTTATCAAAACTAGGAAGTGTTACTGACACCTGGTACTTGGAAGCCAGGGATCATGCTAAATGCCCTGCACTGTGCAGGACAGCTGCCCACACAGGTCAATATCCTGCAGCTGAGGAACCCTGCAGCTAAAGTTGACTTACCTCCATGATATGGTGTGTCACCCTACAGCAAATCTTTCCCATGAATTATTGTTCACCAAAAATCTTGAGTTTATTCTTTTAATTAACCAAAACCAAACACCTATGATAGCATAATTTAAGCAATTTGGTTATTCCTAGCCTTCAAGCGAGAGCAGAGACACAGCTCCTTCTGAATGGTGTTCCATTGTCTTAGGCTCACCCTATTACATTGTAGAGTTGTAATCAACACTCATTGAAATCATTCATGAATGTCAATGAATTTTGTCTCTTTCAAGTTGACACTAATTTAACCACCTGTTAAAGCTGTGTTTCATCCAGTATAAACACTCTCCCTGCTTGGCAGAGTGAATGGCAGAGTGGGCCACACTCTGCTCAGTCTTCCAACAGAATACCCTGTGTCCTTGTCTTTGAGTAGAGTGGTCCCTAGTCCCCATCCAAGTTCTGAGACTCACTTCTTGCACTCTATGTGTTCATGGCACTCTGTGTGTTAGTGGCTGCTTCCCTGTTTCCATGGACCATGTGGATACTATTAGTTGTTTTTAATGGTTATCACCAGTGTGCCTCCTTTTGCTGTTTGTATCTATTATATCTGGTTTTGCTTTGCTTTGTTTTGTTTTCAGTTGGTTGAGTGGTTGGTTGATTTGGTTTGGCTTGTTTTATTTTGGTTTGGGTTGGGTTGGGTTGGGTTGGGTTGGGTTGGTTTGGATTAGGTTGGGTTGGGTTGGATTGGGTTGGTTTGGGTTGGTTTGGGTTGGGTTGGGTTGGGTTGGGTTGGGTTGGGTTGGTTTGGATTAGGTTGGGTTGGGTTGGGTTGGGTTGGGTTGGGTTGGGTTGGGTTGGTTTTCCCTTCTTTCCCTGCATCTTTGGGCAGAGTCTGAGTTTCTATTGTGTCCTTATTTCCACTGTTGAGCAGGTTCCCTTGAGCATCTTTTCTGCAATTGGCACTTTTGTGTTGAGGATTTAGGAATCTGGCTGCTCCCACTCTGTCTCCCTTTGATATCATGCTGACCAACCAGGGCTGAAGGGTCTTAGAGACTTCCCATCAAATCCCTTTCTCTACAAACTTCACTTCTTAGCAGCTAACTTTCTCCCTTAATTCAGAGCTGTTGGACTTTACAATCCTCCAAAACAAAAATTTTTTTCATAGTCAGGAGCCCACATATTAACTGGACCAGACCTTAGCTGTTTCACCCTATTAGAAAAATAAACGAGTTTGTGTATAAAGAGGAAAAACATATTCTACACTGGAACACCCTCACCTCAGGAAAAGGTGCCTTTTGATCAGGGGGAAAGCTGCATTCCCTGTGGGAAGCTACATGGTGATTTCAAATAGCAAGCCATAAAGTCAGTCATGACAAGGGTTTGGTTACTGGGCTATGGGTGGCTTTTCTGTGTCAGCTCTAATGAGAGAGGGGTAATCCCAGCTCCAGGTTAAATGGTGGAATTGGTAAACTGCATCTCTTCCTCTACCTGAAGGGATGGGACATTGTTCTTTAAATCACTATTGCTTCCTGAGCACTGATCTTTCTTCAGTTGATGTCTCTACTCTTACACAGTGGAGTCATCAAAGAATGCTGTTGAGAACAAAACTCCACTTCCCCACAGGGGAAGAGGATGGTTTTCTGTCTTTGTACTTCACTTACTGGAGATTGCGCTTGATCAGAAATGTGCAGGCATTGGGGTATGTGATGCCCTTATTTTAGGGTAATAACAGAGGGTCACACATCATACCTGAACCAAAAAACCAAAAAATCTTCCCCACTATCCCTGAGCTGCTTCACTTGGGCACAGGATGCTCATTCAGCCCAGGTCCTCATCTACATCATTTAAAGAAAACAGAATTTCATTGATTTTTTCCCATGTTCCCATCTGTTGTGATCTTAATGTTGGTACCTCTCCTCCTCCTTCATGTATCAAAACCTGTCCCTGGTGAGTCAGTTCTAAGAAGTGATACATTCAGGAGATAATTAAGTCTTGAGGGTGAAGCCCTCACAGTTTAGTAGTGTTCTTATAAAAGACATATGGGAATTTGAGTGGCACCATCACATAGGCTAAAGTCCTGTCCTGGGTTGAATAAAAAGGATAGAGTGGCCTGCACCTAGAGGCACTGCAGGTGTGGCTGCTGTGTCACATGTGCTTCTCTAGGTGGCAGAGAGACAGGCTGTCTGTGCTCAGTGTTCTGACCTATGAATATCTGAATGATTAGTAGCCTAACGTTCCCTGAAAAGAAAGCAAGCCTGAGACAACCACCAGTCCAGCACCAGGGTAAGCAGACTGGGATCTGGCCTGAGATGACCACAAGTCAGGTGCCACGCAGGCCCTGAGGGCAGAGAGGAAGCTGGAGACTAGAAGAACTCCAACTGAGACCACAGGATTCATGTTGGAATGAGCCCAAGACCTCATATGGGGCCATTCAGGTGGCCCAGGCAAGGAACACACCCAAGATAACCACCAGACTAGCACCATAGGGATTGCAAAGGGGGTTTAGCCTGAGATGACCACCACTCTGGTACTGTCAATGCCTAGGGAGCAGACCATGCCCAAAATGACCCCTACCTGGTGTCATAATGCATGAGTGGGGCATAGCACTCCTGAGACCAGTCCTGAGATGACCTCAGATTCTCGGAGACTCCGAGTACCACTAAGAGAAGAGGACCAAATAAGTGGTGGAGAAACGGAAGAGAAAGAGAAACAGAAGGATGTAGGCTCAATGAAGAGAGCAGAATGGAGACTTGAGGGTAGTGAGGAACAACCTGATATGAGTAGCTGATGATGCCACGTGGGAACATGGTGGGGTCCTGGCCTGTGCTACCATTAGGGGCCACATTTGGCTCCATGGCCCTGCAGTAGCAGGGGTCTATTACCACTAAAGGCCAGGCAGACATCCCTAGTCTGGCAGCATGGGCAAGGGAGAATTTCTCTCCTCCACCCTTGCCCCTTGCCACTCATGGCAGGCATGAGAGCTGGCCCATGACTCACGAGAGTAGAAGAACTTGCCCTGTCCCTCAACAGCTGCAAGACAGAGGGGGGCTTGCACTTCACTTGGGCAGCAGGGTAGACCTGGCCATGGTTGCAGGGGTTGCTGGTGAGCCAGCCCTGAGGGAGGGTGAGTGGGAGAGCTGGTGGGCTGACCAGCTCAGATACCTCTCACGTCCAGATCCAGGGCTTTGAATTGACCCATCTACCCTATCAATGAACTGCTAGAGTGCACTAAGGAGCTGGTTCTTCAGATTCAAAATTAGAAGATCTCCATGACACAGGACAACAACAGGATATCCAAAAAGACTCCTAGTGAGGTTCCGGTACTGATAGAGCAGCAGAAGGCAGAGGCCTCATATCAGACCAAAGAGTCGTTGCAATAAACACTTGCTAGCAAAGAAGTGAGAACAACGGGTGTACCATCAGATACATATGCCTGACACTCTACAGCTTCCATGGTGAGATTTTTTTTGTTGGGGGGAAGTTGCAGGGGTGGAGGGCAGGTATGAGGGGATGGGGAGATGAGTTGGATTGGGGTGCATGATGTGAAATTCAGGAAGAACCAATAAAAAGGTTTTCGGTTTTTTAAAAACAAACAAACAAAAAACAAAAATGGATGGCTGAGCTCAGCACAGACATTCATCTCTCTCTGCTGCTGACTGCAAATGCAATATGGCAGGCCTCAAGCTCCTGCTACCACACCTCCTCTGCAATGATGGGCTGCACTTAAAGCTGTGAACCAAAATAAATGCTTTCATTATGAAGCACTTTTGTCAGGGCTTTTGTTCCAGAAAGGAAGAAAGTTACTAACACAGGAGAAACCAAATTCTGATGTCAAAACCAGTCTGTGACAAAGCAGACACCCAAGAGTCATCTCTTCCCTCTCCTGACCTATCAACGAGTGTGCTTTGCTTTGGAAGGCACCTGAGACACCTCACAAGTCTTCCAGCCATGGGTCACAAGTCAAGCATAGGAGACACCATCAGATTGTCCTTGTGAATTCCATTCCTTTCATTGCTCATGCATTCTTTCCAAATTATATCTATCCAGCTTTGTACTGAGAGCCTTGAGAGAATAACAAGTACCCAGCTGAGAAGGTCACTGGGAACGAGCTTAACCCCTAATGGCCCTTTAGCTTTGTTCATCTTCAAATGGTATGCGGCACTTTTGAGTCTCAGGAACATGCTAGCACCCGTTGCCACCATACAGGCAGACAGTCTACCGTTATGTTTGCCATCGTGGCTGCATGTTAGGTCATCAGAGTGTTTTCTAAGGGCAATTCCATTTCCAGCACATGCTGGAACGTATATGCTATTTCCAAGAGAGGCAGCTGATGATCCAGGCTATTTCCTCTTTAGAGGAAATTGACATTTCAGCATATTTAATAGAAAGAACAAGTGATAAGCGTTTTGCGTGTGGTGGGACTCTATTCCTGTTGGTCATTAAGTATATTTATTTGCCTGAATCACCACCCAGAGGCTGCTGTGGGATGCATGTTTGTTTTTAAACTCCAAATAAAAACAAAGCATGCAAGCCCAAGGCTTTTCTCATTCTGATGTTAAAAATGTATATGCAATTTAGAAAAATGCCCATCCTGAAGACCTGTACTGTTCTTGAGAGGACACAAGTTACAGGTTAGGACAGCTTAGTTCTGCAGAGACAGAATAAGCTAGTCCTTAATAATTCCTGTTTTTCAAAGGTCTGTGAGTTGATCCTGGGCCAGAAGGCTGAAGACTGATGCTCCAACTTCCTGACTTACTGGAGCTGAATGGGTAGCCAGCTGCCTCTACAATGTGTCTCAGTTCTGGAAGCTGAATTAGGCTTCCTATATTTTCAAATAATGTTGCTCGTTCTCAGATTTCTGATGGGGTTGAAAGACTACTTATAGTCTCATAGCCAACCCTGGCTATTTAACATTGAGAAAATATATATGTGAAGATAGTTCTCAGATAGTATCCAAGCTAAACCAGGACATAACATATGGATTTATAAGTCTTTTAAGTTAGGATAGATGATAGTGTTCTATTTAAAGTCAAAGATGATGGACTGGAAGTTAGGTGTATCTTATACTTTATAAGTTACAAAATGGTAATAAAATTAAAAATTAAAAAAATATTCATAACAGTGAAAAAAAAACAAAATATTGTCCATGTGTCTCACACTGAAATCGTTGAAGGATTTGTTGTTTAGTGAACAGTCTTCCAAGCCTATAAACCTAACATGAGCTTCCTGAAACTCCATCCATATTTCCTCTTAAGTCCACAAAGTCTCTGTCAGCCAAAAACTAATGAATTCTGTGCCCAGCCTGGGGCATCATTATGGTACCACCTATCCTACTAGTTCTCCTTTGAGCCCCTTAAGAGCAGAGACAGTGATATCAATGGCCACCAGGGAGGGAAGAAGCTACAGGCAGCCACTTACAACAACATCCTCGTCCCATAAATTCATAATCCATTACAAATATTCAGCCCTAGATCTTCATCTTTTCTTCCAGTTGAAGGTACTTTCTATGCCTGCTTCTGCC